TTTTCAGTACTAACCTAGTATAAGCCAGCCGTTCAAATATTAATCGACAATGCGTGGCCGCACCTGAATTTACACAATCGATCGACCGACCAACCGATCGGCTGATTGTCACACTTGCCAAAGTTTTCTTCTTCCTCTATAGTCTCTTCCCTCCCCAAAGATAGATACTAGCAAAAAACGATATACGCAATCTCTCTGATAAAAAAAAATGCATTAGCCAGCCTACCACGGTTTCTCATCACGGTCGATGACGACTGCTCGGTGAACATTCTTACCAGCTGAGACTTGGCCGAACCGTGAAAAACCTACACGCACATACACGCCATATACACACGCAAACGCGCGCGATCGATCGAATATATTTCTTATTCTTTTCCAGGCGGACGCGGTTTCTCGACACACGCACACTTACACGCAACACGCGCGCGCGCGCATTCAATACGGCGGCTGCCGAAATCCGCTTGTGGAAGGTCACGCACGCTCAAGTACGTCGTTCTTCGTTCCCGTAATTATTTACCATTAACGAAGAGGGTGATTCCTATATCACCTTAAACGATGTAATCGCGCCGTAAGTAGCCAGCTCCGTCTCTCAATACACGTCGCTAGTGCGGTGATTCTCCATATAGATCGTTATAGGCATTCTCGTTTCTCGTCTAATGTTTTATAGTAGTTAAAATTTGTAATATGATAATACGTTATAACTTGGCATTCTAATTCTCTCTTGTGTCTTTTTTTCTACTTTTCGTTTAATTAAAGATAATTTCGTTTAATTATACATAATTTCATTGTTAACCCTCCGGAGTTGACGATAGGATTTATTGAACCCATTAAATTATGTTTCTCCAAAGGAATTGATGATCGTCTATTAGACTTATTCAATTATATTCTTTTATGTTATATGTATATGTTATATATCTATAAATTTGAATCATTATTATTTAAAAAAATTTAGTATTCACACATTTTAGTATTCACACACGCACGCACGCGCACGCACGCACGCGCACACACACACACATACACACACACACACACACACACACATTTTTCATATACTGGAAAGAATCTGGTTGTATTCATCGGAATTCTCTTTGGTTGAAAATAGGCAAATTATAATTTTCTGGTTGATCTATTAATTCTATAATTCTAGTTGAGATAACCAGAATCTGACTGCTACGATTATAATCTTCTGGTCCGTTCATTTTCAATCAGAAGTTTTTCCCAATATAATTACGCCATTTTGGTTCCTTCAAATTAGTGAATACCTTTTAGTCAATATAAATTAAATAGATCTTAAGCCCGATATATATAAGACACAGAAGAAACTAATCTAACGTATATTTTAATTATAATAGATTGTAGAATATAGTAGAACGCAAGACACAGGAAGTTGGGTGAAGTTCAACTTTCTTACGTATTGCGGTCTACGACCTATTATAATCTGAAATACGTTTCACCTGCGACCTGCGTTTTGTGTCTATGTAGATAGGGGCTTTACAGATCTGGTATCAACAAAGTTACAAAATTTAACGTCAGCTCCGGATGATTAAGAGTACATCGTTTTGCAAATACAGAAAAAAGAAAATTAGACCTATCACATCCTCTTTTACAATATATAT